TTAGAAGATGAACTGTAACTCAACTTAAGCCTATTTAACAGGTTTCTAAACTAATACCCTTATTTCAGACTTAGGTAATATGCTTAGTTCAGATTGGCAGGTTTACAGTTGTTTCAGGTGTTCAGTGTTAGGGTTTAACTGTGTAGATGGCAGGGCATTTGCAGTCTGGAGATTCTACAAGGGTTCCATTCAAATATGTCATATCATCACTACTTACATTTACTGTGTGCTTGCTTTCCTTTTTAGCTTTAAAAAGTGATGCCTTAGCTGGGTGTGGTGGCGCAAGCCTGTAATCCCAGCACTCAGGAGGCTGAGGCAGGAGGATGGTTGAAAGTTGCAGACCAGCCTGGCCTACAAAGTGAGCTCAAGGTCAGCCTGAACTGTGTAGCAAGACCCTCTCTCAAAAAGACAAAAAAAAACAACAAAAAAAAAATTGCGTTGAATAATGTGCATTATTTCCCTATTTAATTCCCATTTAATTTCAATACATCTTTCATTCATATTTGAGGAACTTTTGCTTCTCATTTTAAAGGTTGTGCTGCATGAGAGTTACATGTGAGACTGTACCTCCAGTTACAAAGCACGGTAGTTCTGGGTGGGCGTAAGTGTCCACAGACACGGTGGAAAGGAATCCTGCAGTGGAGCCTTTTGGTGAGGAGTTTATTCTTTAATTGAGAAATCATTAACTACCTTTTCTTTTAAAATTCAAAGTAAGGTTTAACATTTGATATTCACTAAAAGGTTTCAGGCTGAGATTTCTTAGTTTATTTTCTCCCCTGCTCCTATAATTACAGTTTTTTTTGAATCACACAACAAAATTGTTGTCTACATAAAGGCAAATGTAGACTTAGACATGGTTTTGAGTGTAAAAACACTCAAGCAATCTACTTATTTTTACAACGTGGCTTACCAAGTTATTTCAATTCCTTTATGTTAGGTACTAAAGGAATTTGATCTGCCAAATTCTAATGCTGTCACAAATTGGGACTTAATGGAATGTTTGCAAAATGGCTGAATCAATAAGTAAGAATTTTAAAGCTTGAAGAAAACTGGAGATTCTAAATAGATATAATAAACCTAGTAATAAAATGTCTTCTCCCTCCTTGCAAATCTGAAGAGAACATTATATTAACTGGATGGAAGTCAAGGACTTCAGGATCATAGAAAAGGCCTTTCACAGGAATGTTTCCAAATTAAATTATGCACAAACCAAGCTCATTTTATCCTCTGTAGACTAACTCAGATGCCCAAGGTCACTCAGCACTCAGATGCCCTGAGTTCTGCATGAATTGGACTTTGTTTTATCCCTTACCAGTGCTTCTCAAATTTAATGTGTACACGAATCTCCAATGTTGAATAAGGTCACCATCATCACACGAAAAGTACCAGTGAAATCCAAGGATAATTATTTGTAAGCCTCTTCAAAATTTAGTTTGGGTTGAGAAATCTCATGTCTTCTCTGTTTGTGCAAAATCTACTGAATTATCTAAGTTTAGTCTGCCCTCTTTGGAGATGACTCTATTATATTCACAAGCCTTTGCCTTTGGGTGAATCTACGAATTTGGTGTTATCAAAATAACACCAAATAGTAACAACAGCATAGTAAGCGATCTCAGTTGCAGAAGTTTGAAATTATGTGTTAAAAAGTTTAAATCTGGGGCAGTTTGGATTTTAGCTGAACTGGTTTATCTATCTTAAGAGATTAGATCCTAGAAGAATTAGTGATTTAATTAAAGGAAGAGGAAATTTGAAGTATTTCTATTAAGTTGCATGAGGGCTAAAGAAAACTGATTTTTTGGGAGGAATTCTAAAATTATGCACACACTCAGGTAAGTATTAAACAATGGAAATTTGATGAAGAAGATAGTGGCAAAATTCCTCCATCCTCAGGCCTGAGAAGGGCTTTTTCCTGAGAGAGGAATTCAGTAGCTTTCTCTAGGGTTAGGAAGCAGTCATTGATGTGCTAGCTCAGAATGCTGGCTACTTAGTAGAGTGTCCTCCATAAAGTGTAAGCTATCAGTTGTACCTCTAAGAGCAATGGTGATGCTGATGACAAAAATGACATTTATTATGTGCTACTGTGTAACATACATAATGCCCCATATGAATTATCTAATTTTAATCTCCATATAGTAATCCCGTGAGACAAGAATATTCGTAGTCTGTTTTATAGTCAAGGAGACAGAGGCTTAATGAGGTCAGTTAACTTGTACAATGTCACTCAGCTCATAAGTGGCAGAGTTAGAACTTGAAAAAAGATTTGTCTGATTTCAAAACCCATGTGCTTACAAATATAATGAAAATCAATAAGAAATATTAAATTCACATAGACATTGGAAACAATAGAACGGTACAGTTAGAGAGGTGTGTGTGTGTGTGTGTGTGTTCTGAGATTTGGCTTCAGAAGTCTCATTTTAAATTAAATGATTGGTTGTTGCAACTGTCTATTTTCTACTGCTAGTCTAAAATATTTCAAAGTAATCATGTTTATAAGTCATAAAGATCTCTAGCTTCCAAACTGAAATTTGAATATCCTCAAATTAAGCATTATCTTTTAGATTAGGTTCATGGAGAGAAAAAGCTCACAACAACATGACAACCAGGGAGAAAATGTTTGCAACATATAAAACCAAAAAACATGCACATTACTGGGGTACAGAGAGCTCCTGAAAATTAATTAATTAATTAAATTAATTACAGCTCAAAAGAAAAGCGGCCTAAGAATACAAATGGCTGATTCCCAGAAAACGAAGCACAAAGTTACAAAAAAGCTCAATTCACTAACAAATAAGTGCACAAGTCAATCAGTAAATAAAACCTACATGTCTAATAGGTTGGTACATTATTTTTAGAAAGCAATTTAGTGCCTTATTCTTTGACCTAATAATTCCCCTTCTTTTTATGTAAGGATGGTCACTTATATAATTCTGTCATATTAAGAATTGGAAATAACTCATAAATTATGTGTACAAAATATATTTTAATTGAGAAAAAGCTATGTTTATGTTGATATTTATAACTTCCTTCTACTGTTTTAACTTGCATATTTTAATACTATTAATTATAAGTGAATTCACAGAGAGATGGATAGGGAGATGTCAGGGTAAGTAAAC